TATATCGTAATTAATTTTGATTGAAGAATTCATAACATTTCTATATTCAAAACCTCCTTGAATTATCGCCCTGCAATTCTGGAACGTGAAATGCATATCTCGTATATACGAGGTAATTACACTGCCTACTTAATGGTGTCTTTAGCAATTCTTTGAAAATGAGCTCATCTACAATGCGGCAGTCATGAAGTCGGTCACATGGCACGGACGGAAGACAGAGACCCAAAACCCGACCGGACGTTTTATGGCAGCCCACTATTTCCGGCGTCCCCCCCCCCCCACCACCACCTTCACTCGTTCGGGGCGCTGGCGGAAGGGCTCCCAGCAGTGGCACAGAATGGTCCAAAATGCGCGATTGCAGCGTTTCATGTATCTTTGGAGCGCAAGAAAAGTTGCCCTTTTAAAGAAGTCATTAATTTACAGGAGTACGATTTTAACCTTGGAAGCATTTGGATTATGAGCAAAGACAGTGTTTTTATCTTTTTAGTGGCTGTCTTGAAAACCATCTTCATAAAAATGCCTCCAGTAATCATATACAATTTTTTTGTATGCCAGCATTATAAATGCCCTTTTCTGTTGATGACCGATTCTGTTGACAGAAATGATGACGTATTAGCATTTTACGGCACGAATGAATACGATATTACAAATTGAGCCAATCACAGCAAGAGAGTCCTGGAGAGGGAGAGGTAAATGGAACAGCCGATCATAGTTTTCACACACAGATGTCAAATACCAAGGACGTCACAAGAAAGTTTCTTCGCAAAATTAAGTTTGAATCTCTTCTAAATTTATAATGCAGTTATACAAAAAATAGCGTATGCAACTCGTTTATACAGATGCTTTACTGCATTCGTACAAACATGTGCCCATGCAATAAAATATACACGAATTGCATGAAGTACTATTTCAACATTTTTTCACTAAAAAATAGTATTCTGGAGATGCGTCAGTTTTCTTGTACACCAGTATTTATTCATGACAACTATACGGTTTAGGAATTCAGTATAGGTGCGAGTCTGTTATCAAAACGGTGTTTTGGAAGTGGACTGATATCATCTTCAGAGAAAATTCGAACTTTTGTTTGAATCTTTTCTGAGTGATTAAGTCAAAATACAATGAACACAATTGAGATGTTTTTGAAACAGTTACAAGTGTTTGAATCTGACAATATTAACACATTTGTCATTACCGAGATGAGCATGGTATATTATCTTCGACCATCCCGTTGAAGGCTTACAACAGTATTATACGTATCAAGACATATAGCATACACATATATATTGAAGAGTAAAACCTCATTTAATGTCTGCAAGAAAGCAAATTACCATTTAATCATTAGTCTGAGAATCTCTAGAAACGTGTACGATTGTCTAGATGAAAATTAAACATAAAATGTTAGCAAAACATTCATTAATAATCTAACTTCATGTATTACTGTCACTTTAATTTATTTGTCGGAAATACTTTCAAATTTTCTTGGTAATAATCGTATTCTTATGAATTCAGATAATAATTAATTATAATCTGAATAATTAATTCAGATTAATATTATTATCATGATCATAAATATTTCCAAATTTTGAACCACCCGTTAATTTTTCATCCTCGGACTACTGTGCCCCACCATGAGAAAGGAAAGGGTACGCTGTGGAGATCGCCTTTGTTATTGCGCACTCGTCTAACGAGGATGCGAGTTAACGAGGGGGCGATTTCGCTGCGAGAAAGCAAGAATATGAGCGGTCCCGCCCTAGCCGTCACCAACCGCCCTCGTCCCCAGCCCTCCCATTCGTCCCCGCTCCCGACCCCACCCGCTTCCTCGCCCTCCACTTTGCCCTCGCCCCATGCCTAATCCCCCGTGTCCTGCTCCGCTTCGACCTCCAATCCGGACCCCGCCCGCACTCCAGCCACCCTCCTCTTCCAACAACGCCTTCGCCCCCGCCCCTCCCAACCCCTCGCCACGTCC